GGGGGCCGGGCCCCACACTGCCACTATGCCCTACTACCTGCCTATGGCTCAGACCTGGGCCACAGTGGAAGGAGGAGAGTGGTTGAGACCCTTTGCCTGGGAGACTTCCCAGGAAAGTGGGGTAAGGGTGGGAGCTGCTTCTTGCTTTTGCAGACACAGCTCCCAATGCCACAGCACTAGTAATAAATAACTGCCAGGAGGAAAAGCAGAGGTGACAGCAGTAAAAGGATCTAGCCCAGAGGTTCATAAGTCCCATGCTATTCTCAGGGCCAGAGAAACCACAAAAGAAAAGCACAAATCCAGCAAGATTGACCTAGGGGAAGAAGCACAAATCCAGCAAGATTGACCTAGGGGAACTCCCACTAGAAAGTGGGGCTGAGAAAGCAGGCTGGGTTTTGTCTGAGACCAGGCCCTCTGGATAACATGGAGGAGACAGGGTTAAGGCAGCAAACACGGACCCTGCTTTGGTAATACCACACAGCCAGGGGTGGCTGGGCTGGGCTCAGGCCACCCCTGCACTGCCCTTTCCTTCTGGCCTCCAGGCAGCTGAAGCTGTATGTGATGTTCAGACAGCAGCAGGCCAGACACAAAGGCAGGGTCAGGTGGTGGAGTGGCCACTGCATGACCATTTAGGCACATGCTGCAGGTAGGCAGTCTGGGCTTCACTTAGGAGCAGCAATGGCCTTAGAGCCCAGCTTAGCTTGCACGGCCAACCAGCTCCTTGGCTTCCTCAAGGATTGTGGGGACTCCTTCACTTTTCTTGGGCACCTTAGCAGGACCAGCAGACATGGCATCATCCTTGGTCAGCTCCGAGGCTAGCAGAGATGTGACTGCACACCCAGCTTTCCTGTTGACTGCAAGAGAAGACATGAGATCCTGTCCACTGAAGGTCCAGTTTCTAATCTCTTTACAACTTTGCAGCAGGTGTTAAACCAGAAGCCATGCAACTGTGGCTGCCTTGTCTGGTTCAGAGGTCTTTACAGAAAGAATAGAGAATCAATGTAAAATATACCTCCGGGTACAAGTATGAAGGTTTGGATACAGCTAGACAAAATAGGACTTGAGGGGCTGGGGAGATGGCCCAGCAGTTAAGAACTCTGGGTGTTCTTGAAGAGGACTTGGGTTTGGTTCCCAGCACCTGTATGACAACTCACTACCATTTGTAACTTCAGTTCCAGGGGACCCAATGCCCTTTTCTGGCCTCCATGGGCAGCAGGCATGCATGGGATACATACACATAAATGTATGCAAAACACTCATACACATAAAAATGAAAATAATAAGTGTTGGCTATGTCATGTAACAAGAGAAACAGTACTCGAAGTCCACTTTGAGTGGACTTTGGAATTAAATATGTTGAAGCTTAATACACAGTATTATTTTTCTAGGCACTCCACAGAGAGCTTGTGGGTAAAACTATAAGGCTGCTTCAGGGGGCTTGTTCTAGCAAGAGGCAGCTTTTAGCTGGCTTGTGAGGGTTTCTTGCAGGAGTCCGGTCACTTGCTGTTATCACATGCACACCACACTCCCATGCATTTCTCCAACAACCAAGGTCCACATGCCTGGCTCTTCCCTACCTCGTCAAGCTGTAATACATGTGTGTGCATGCACACACTGAGGGGTAAAATGATAAAATGTATGCCAGAAAAGGCCAAGGATGACCAAAAGGGGAATGCTAGAAAGAAATCGCAGTCCAAGTCTCTCCTGCTCATTTATAAATCCATCCTTGGGACTCCAGTATCCTCAACAGGAAGACAGCTTGTTGGGACCATGCCCATCACATGACGAGTACCTAGTTCCATGCCCTTTTAAGCAGTCTGTATAGGCTGCATATATACTGAGCAACCTGGGGCTTTAAAACTCAAACAAAAAATGCTATATTATTAGTTCCTGTGAATGGCCAGCTTAGGAAAAATCCACAGAGATAGGAGGTAGAATAACAGGAAAAGATGGCATGGTATCTCAAACCTATAATTCCAGTACTTGGGAGGCTAAGGCAAGAGAATTCTTAGTTGAAGGTCTGCATAGTCTAGTCTCAGCTATGAGACCCTGTCTCAAAATTTCTAAATCAGCAACTAGAGACAGGGGACAAGCATCCCTTGCTGGTGAGATGGCTCGGTAAGTAAAGGTACTGGACTCCAAGCATGGTATCAAGCCACAGCCATGTGTATGCATGTATGAACGCACATACACACACTTTTTAAATAAGCAAAAAGTTTGTCAGTACCTGGAACAACAACAACAACAAAAAAGTCAATACCAGGGACTGGTGAAGGAAGAACCCAAAGTTCCTGCTACACACCAGAGAAAGAAGGGTTTGCACATGCACTGAAACAACAGTGGATACTCCATAAAAATATGCAACTTTTATGAATAAGTTAAAAAGTAAATTGCTAATGGATCTGGGGGTTTCTTATGGAGATGAAAAAGTATTCTGAAATATAACAATGATGACAGCTGCACAGTCTTTTGACAGTCTCATCAAAACTGTATACTTAAGAATGGTGACAAAAAATAAAAAAGCTGGGTATGGTTGACTACACCTTTAGTCTCAACACTTGGGAGTCTGAAGCAGACAGATCTCTGTGAGTTCCAGGCCAATCTAGTCTACATAGAGTTCTAGAAAAAAGCCAGGGCTACACAGTGAGACCATCTAAAAGAATATCCAAAACCCTTGCTGAGACTTAGGGAAAACTGGAGTGGAGAAAGCTGTGACAAAGCCTGAAAGAACCGGTGACAAACGCAGCACTCCCTAATGAAGGCTGCAGGACAGGGCCATGAGCAGGAAGAGTGCAGAGGGGCCACAAACAAGGTATCTGCTGTGGATTAGCAAAAAGCTTTAAGTAGGTGGAAGCCAAACCAGGTAAGAGAGCCCAAGCCTTGTCCAGTACTGGCAGTCTCAGGGCAGAGCCAACCCAAAGCTACTGTTTACACACGCAGAGGCTGCCCACAGGTTGGGCAGGGAGCACACAATTTGCCCACAGATTACCAACTTAGAGGTCTCTTCCTCCTCCTCCTCCTCCTCCCAAGGGCACAAAGGGTTGTCTACCAAGGGGAGAAAGAGCAGTAAAAATCCTGCTGACAGCATATGGGGGCTATCTAGGTGCAGATCACAGGTGTGTGTATGTGTAAGAGACCTACAACCGCAGGGGCCTCACCAAGTTAGATGTTGGATTGTGGAAACAAACCATTGCGCCTCAGTAACTGATGTATGAGAATGTGTGTGGGCTTTTCCTACTCTTCTTCCTGTCTCTCCTCATATGTGTTTCTTTTCCACTCATTTCTGAAGCACTCAATTCTCCAGGATGCCACTGTCATGCCCAGAAAAGTGGTGGTTCAGTATCTCTTCACTGCAACTACGTATGTGTGTGTATACACCGTGCACGTCCACCTACCTCAGTGAACTGAAGCAACTGCTGACTCTAGACTCTGTGAATACCTGCCCTGGAGCAACATAGAGCTAAGAGTTCCAGGGCAGCAAGCCCTAAGCTGCTGCTTTCTTTGGCTGCTTCTTCTAAGATTCCCTGTTGTATCCAATCCAACAGTTTCAGGATATTTCTATACTCACTAGACTCTTGATTCATTATATATGTTGTAAGAACCAGGAGAACATGGCAGACAGACAAAACAGAACAATTTCCTCTTTAAGTCTTGAAAGTAGGTACACTAGGGATGGACACAAAGTGATCCAAGGTTAAGAATAAGAAAGCTCTTGTTCCAACTGATGAAAGGAACCAAGGGAATCCCAGAACCCCAAATTCTGATCTAGCTCCATGGTCACTGTTATGCTGAGCAGACTAAACAATCAGAAAAATACAGAGTCCTTACAGTAGTCACAGAGCCAGGTCAGTGTTTATGCAGGATCCGGGACAATTACTAACTAGAATAGGCCCACAGCTTTGGGTGTAGAGTTAAAAAGTCTGAGAAAATGGTCAAAGCTGGAATCCTAGAAGGTAGAGTAAACAAGATAAACACATAAGTAAAAAACCTGCTGAGTAATACTAAGAGCACATCTCGATTAGAAAAAGTTTAATGGTTCAGGAAAAAACATCTGAAACACAGCTATGAACTACTGCTAAAGAGGAAGTGCTCTTGTTAATCAGCTTCCTCAGGGAAGAGGAAACTAGGACAGATGGGGAAGTTATTATCACCCTAATAACTCATCATTGTCTGAAACTATCCTAATTATACCTCTTGTCCTACTTTTACAAAATTAGGGAGAGTAGTGATACAGGAACACTCTTTCCAGACAAGGGGGTCATCAGAAAATCTCCCCGGTACAATTTTACCATCCCAAGAACTCTCTTTGCAATATCCTATGCCAGAGTTTTCTGGCCTAAATAGAGATCACTGTCATTTCCTGTCTAATAATGCAGGCTTAGTAGGAAGAGCCCCAGACTTGGATCCACAAAAGCAGGATATCGTTCTGGCTTTATTATTAGGTTTGGAATCATAATTTATTTATTTATTGTTTGTGACAGGGTTTCTCTGTGTAGCCCTGGCTGTCCTGGAACTGGCTCTGTAGATCAGGCTGGCCTTGAACTCGGAGATCCACCTGGGATTAAATGAGTAGGGTGGATACTGCTCAATAGAAGGGCCTTTAGTCTTCTCAAGACCTCGATTAGCATAAGTGGAGCTTACACTAACCTAGGAGATGGCAGAGGGAAGACTCCCAGATATATATATATATACACACACACACACACGTATATGTGTATATATATATTTTACTCTATTTAGTATGTAAGTGGCCTTACATTCAGGCCTGGAGATAAAGTTGAGTCATTAAAACCACAAGCTGACTCAATCACAGCTGGAAATAGCAGCTGTAATACAATCACAAGGATTCTTCCTCTTGACACTTAAGCCATTGTTCTCCCACACCATGCAGACCAAAGCAATTTACATGTTACTTTTAATGAACCAGCCCTGATAGTGACTCTCCTCTTCCAACTCCTCAATGGGTCTTTGTATCCAGGTCATTCCATGTCTCTAGACACTGGAAGATTGTAACATTCCTGGAGGCTCTAGGGAAAAGCTAGTGACTTTGAATAGAGACAGCTGCCTCTGGGAATGGGAAAGACTGTGAGGCAGATAAGCATGACAATTTTCTGGTTCTTTGGCTCCCAGCACTTGGTCATGAGCAGTAGTTCTCAACCTGTGGGTCTTAACCCATTTAGGGGTCACATGTCAGATACCCTCCATGTCAGATATTAACATTAAAATTTGTAACAGTAGCAAAACTGCAGCTATGAGGTAGCAACAAAATAATTTTAGGGTTGGGGTCACCATAACATGAGGAACCATGTTAAAGGGCTGGCTGCAACATTAGGAAGGCTGAGAACCACTGCTCATGAGGTCAGTCAAGAGGCAGCTAGACAAAGAGTACATTAGCTGGGTCCAGCAGCCCTGGAGGGAGCTTGCGACCCCTGGTGCCTCTGCACTTTGAGAACGGGGGGCCTTCAAAACTTCAGCCTTTTTCTGTAAAGATCCTAACTCCTTGGGCAAGCCACTCTGATGCTGCTTTCTGTTATGCCTGATAGGAGGCCACACCCTTTAGACGATGTGGAAGTACCCAAGTCTTAAAAAGCTCACAGAGTAACTACAACTGTCTTAGAGAGTCCCCCAGATGTTTGGTGAGCTTAGTAAACCTTATCAGAAAGAGACGATTATAAGCTGGGGCTGACTTAAACTATGCAGTCCTTGTTTTCACTTCTTAATTTCAGCGTTTTCTGTAAGTCCCCTAGAATTGTCTTTCTAACTGGGAGACAGTACCCTAACTCAGATTCTCTACTGGAAAGGTAGTTCTGACAAAATCCCTTTTTTTTTTATTTACAAGGAAGTCCTGGCTTTTCACAAGGAAAGCAGTAGAGAATGGGGCATCCCCAGGACAGGGAAGTCACTGATGCCTGGCTGCTTGTACAGGAAGCATCTGGGTCTCTAGTACAATTCCTCAGGAAAAGGCTGCAAAGGGAATTCCCCACCAAAGTCTGGAGCAGGTTGGGCTTAATTGATAGGGTCATGGAATACAGCACAGTGAGATGCATGATACTTCTGGTGGGCCGGAAACAGTGCTGTGACAACCTCTAGAAAAACTAAGTATCAAAGGAGTACTGCTAGCTGTACTCTCCATACAAAAGACTATCTGTAAAACTGGGTGCCTAATCAGAGTTCTACACGCTTCTTCATTCCCACTTCCCCACCCTTTGAGACCCTGTACTCAGAAAACCATTCCAGGCAGGACGCTGAATTTTACTGTGCTAGTACAATCTGCATTCTTGCTAGGGTACTCCTTCCAATGTGTCAGGTACTACAGGTGCCAGAGATATCACTGTATCCGCCACCTCTCTCTAGCAGGTTCCAAGTGAAAGTCCTATCAAACTTGTCTACAAAGCTCCAACAAAGGGGGGCCAGGCTTTAACTCTGCACAAAGATGCTTTTGCTGCAGCTCTTACCCTCTGATAGAAAGAAGCTATCACATCTAGGCCTTCAAAAGGTCCTAGTGAGGACTTGCTAATGTGGGAGGAAGAGGCCTAGATAATCCATTCTTAGTGCATGGAAATGGGAGGTTTCTGGACCCTGCAACACCACTTTGGTCTTCAGCCCCCCCGCTAGCATGACCAGGAAAAGAGACCCCACACCTCCAACACCCAATTGGGTTCCATTTGTTTACTTACCTTGACGGGGCCCTCTCTTTCGTCGGAATGCTGCCCCTGACTGCAGAGCTTCTAGAAGACTGTCCATCACTCCTGTCTCATCTCCCTCTGTCATGAACAAAGACAGAGGTTAAATTCTTCAGCCAGACAGCATAGCAAATACCAAAAGCTGCACATGAAATACATGGCTGCTACCTGGCTTTCTCTCCCTCATACTGGCTGACGACTAAAACAGACAAGAAAGGCTCAGCCTCTCAAGTCTCACAGACCCATTTACCTCACTTGTGTTTTGTTTAAAAATGCCTGAAAACGCACTGTCTGTTAGTGCAAACCCTGAGGTATTCATTGCAAAGTCATCCTACCCACACAAATCAGGATCAGCACACAGACTCCTAGGACTGCCTAACTCCAAGACCTGAGTAAGCAGAGACCACAGGTATAAACCAAAGGCAGCTACACCAGGGAGGGTGACTATGCCTGCAATCCCAGGATTTGGGAAGTTGAAGCAAGAAGATGTGGAGTCTGGAGCTAGGCTGGGCTATGTAGGTGTGTGTGTGTGTGTGTGTGTGTGTGTGTGTGTGTGTGTGTGTGTGTGTGTTACAAAACAACTACTGAAACTGTTATCAGTCCCAGTTTTCTCTCCAGTTTTCATTTAATACTGAGGGCTTAGGCCTCAGAGGGTGGTTAAGGAAATGAGCCCACACTGGTCAAGACTGTATTTCATATAACTACTGTTTACAGTGGTTGCATCTTCCTTAAGACAGCTCTGCATGTAAAAGCTGAAAGCAGCCTGGCTGGAATGCAAAGAGTTAACGCAGAATCCCAGTTCTAGCCAGGCTCAGTTTCCATGGTAACAGCTCAGGATAGTGAAATCTGAAACTGAAATCCCAAGGAACTGGTTGGCTACTAGCTAAAGGCTAGGGATCATTACTGCCAGCGCCACCTGCTGTCTGGACATCACAAATGCAGCTGACCTATATTGAATTTCATTTGCTTGACCCAGGCACTCAGAATAGGGTAAGGTCCACTACGCCACCTGCTGGCTGGGCTATAGCCCTTATCCCAAACGCTATTTGGGACTCCACCTTGCTCCCATTACATCCTACACAATGTAGAAGGGGAAAAGCCCTGGAGGCCCAGGGAGAACAGGGAGGGAAGTGATGGATACTTGGTATGAATTTTAACAGTGTTACCGGAACAAAGTTGTTGGCTTAAATACAACTGAGGTAAGGTCAAGGAACTACTCTGAAGCTCTCTGGGCTCAAACCTTGTTAGTCTCTACTGTTTGTGCTCAGCAAATTTTTAAAACTTATCAACCCAACAGCCCCTCACTTCAGAAGCTCACAGACCTTCAGAGCAGCACTGGGCCATGTGCTACATTGGCTGTATTTACTGTATTTCCGCTGCCCACAGGAGTAGTGGGGGCAGGGAATCCTCCACAGGAAAAAAGCAGAGACAGGAAACAGAGGGCCAGTAATTGAGACCATATGCTCAAACAAAGACATGTTTCTGCTGGAGAAACAGAGTGGCCAGCTTTTCACCCCCTTCCAGAAGTTCAATCCATTTATGATCTCAGACATGCATACAACATGCTAAGAGGTAATAGGAACACAGTACTGGTGAAATACAGAGCTACAAGAAGGGGGGAGTCGGGGAAACATTTTTGGGAACCCAAAAGCAGCAGGAATGAGAGCAGGTCAGGGAACATTTTGCATAGGCAGAGGAAAGACTAGGTGTGACAGCAATTCCCAAATCACAAGGGTGATGGGACATACATAATCCAAGAGCCAGCAAAGGAGAGGAAAAAAAAATTAAACATGTTGAAATCCAGCACCAGGAGCTTGGAGGCAGAAGGTTGCCAAAAACCATTTGCCAGGAGCCACATTTAGACCCAAGCTCTCCTGTGTAGCTCTAGGTTCTAGACAAAGATGCCTTCCAATGTCCCCTTCACATTCCCACCTGCATTCATGTCTATGAGCTGCTCTCGCTTCTGCTGCTTCTCCAGTCGCTCCTTTTCTGCCTTCTCCTTGGCTAGTTTTGCTCTCCGCATCTTTTCTTCTGTTTCCCGGCGCTTCTGATTCTCCTTGACTGCTTGCTGAAGCACAGATTGGGGGAAGGTGGATATGTGGGCACATGTAAACCCACCAATAACCATTAGGAACCCCATGAAAAATTAGCAGTTTACCCTTGCTCACCAAAAACATATTCCTAAAGTTGTGCAGATCCATAAAGAATTCTTCCACAGACAATTTTTTAGGGTCAAAGATGAAGTAGTCACCTAGCTCCTTATATAGAGTCTCCATGTTGGAGTGCATCATCCGTAGCTTGTTATACTGCTCTTGTGCATCTTTCACAAAACTGTGCGCCAAAGAGTAAAGGACCACGACCAAGACCAGAGACCCACTCAAAGATGAAAAGTGGGCTGTGCAGCAACCACCGTATAGTGCTGCTCATGACAGAACAGAAGCACTCTAATTATTCAGAGTGACAAACCATAAGCTATGGCTTACCTATACAATAGAAGCTGCAAAGACTACTATAGACACAAGACTGAGACATATGCAGATAAAGCTACATGATGCAGTTTCTGTGTAAAACAACAATGAGGTATAAATCAGAAAGTGGTGGTGAAAGGGTCTGTCTGTGACAGCAATGGGGCGCACAGAGTAGGGACTCGGGGGTTTTTAGTGAAGGTGGGTACGTTTATAACGGGAATGGGACACAGAGTAGGCACTCAGGGATTTGTAGTTTATCTGCAAGGTTTGCTTTCCCTTCTACGTTAAGTTTAAAAATTGTGTATTTAGTGGAAAAAAAAACCAATTCAAAGGTGAAAACTGAAAATTGCCATCATCTATTTTCCCCAGAGATTTTCCCTTCCCAGGGATCAAGTCCTCCAAAGAAAGGATATAGTCATTTTCTCAACAAACTTGTCCTTTTCGTCTGTGGCAGCTGGGAAATTCTGAACATCACGTTCCACGTCAGCGATCTGTTTCTTCATCTGATCTAAGTTCTTCTGTAAGTTCTCAGCAGAAACTACAGGAGAGAAACGGAAGACCTTACTAATAACCATCAAGAGCCCACCCAGCCTCACCTGCTTACATACTTCCCTTTCTTCTCTATGTATGCTCCTCTAGCCTACATATGCTCCTCTCTCTGATTCATGTTGGTTTTGATCTCTGCAGCAAAAGCATAATTATTTGCTAATTGAACTTCCAACCTTCATACACTGTACAATACTAACAGAAGCAGACTTCATGTCATTTAAAAAGAACCGATGGGATCCCCTGAGACCTTGGTCTCATTTATTTCAGATTACAGGGTTTCAGAAGTAGGAGATGTAGGTAGGAACCCAGAAGCAGGGTAGAGATCTGTCCCATTTCAACCCAGTGTTTTGCCTACTTCCCAACAATGAGGCCCACTGCTTGTTAATCCAGTCTGTCTTTCAGAATGACAAAAGCCATGGACCTAGACTAAAAGCACCTGCCTTTCCAGCATCTGTGCGTGTGTGAGTGCCTGCGTGCGTGCGTGCGTGTGTGCCTATGCACGCAGTATTTCAAGAAAGGGAAAAAGTACTTCCACTTGTATACAGGCTGTCTTCAACCTCACACTCCTCCCTGAATCTTAGACACCTAACTACTTAAATTCTCCTTTATTCTCACTTAAAATGGTCTGAACCAAAAATGATTTACGTCTACACAGTGTCCTATTTCTTTCCTCATGGAGAAACTTTTTGGGCACATCACACACCTTTTTAAGAAAAATTTTCAAATTACACTTATTTGTGTGTGTTTCAGTGAGAGAGAGAGAGGGAGAAGGGGTGGGAGGGAGGGGGCGAGAGGGGAAGAGGGAG